TCTCCTGGTCTACACTCTGCCTCCCATATCCACCTGGGTAAACCTGAGTCCCACTAATTCTTCAAAACTTAGCAAGTCTCACGTGCATGAGTCAGCTTCAAGATACTCAGGAAAATCTCCCCTATCGTGGTTGCCTGGACTAGCATTTTGTATTTCTCACTCAATACCTGTATCACATCAATGAAATGATGAAGCATGAAGCACAACCAGACATTTAACAAATGGGTGTACATAGCTTAGTGAGGTGTAATAAGATAAGCCTGCTGTGTTTTTTTTTAAAAAAAAAGAAAGTAAATCTAGAAATAAGATGAGTAAAAATCAGCATAAAACAAAAATTTAGCCTCTCAGTATATATACCTATCCCTATGAATACAAATCACATGATGATTATATACTTGTAAACACAGAAATACTCATTTGAAAAACAGCACTATCAAAAAGAATGAAAGTTTTCAGGTTCCTATGGAGGTATATTCTTTTGAAGGAGATAAATTTTCAATTTTCTTTCTCTTAATTTTATGCTCAGTAAGATACATGTATGATTAATAATTTAATTTTCAGCTTTGTAGAAAGTATATATACCCCTCTGTATAAATTAACAATTTGGCATTTGGGGTTATAATCAATATCTTTTTATGTTGATTAAGAGTCCCTTCCCGAGAGCACTGTCAATTTCAGCTCAGTTCAATAAATGTTTACTGAATATTTACTATATTCTAGTCCTTCCTAGATCTAGAAATGAGTAAAAGGCCAATGACATTCAGGAGTTCCAAAATGAAGAAGAGATCGAAAAATAAGCAAGTAGTTCAAAATAACATGGTGAGTATAAAAATTGAGCTTTGTACAAAGTATTATGAACAGACAAAGGAACAGGGTTTCCATGATACACAGGCAGAGACAGACTTACAGGATAAACATGAGCTGGATCAGAAACCCAGGAGCTAGACCAGAAACCAGGATAGGATAGGGAGACACTACAGGCAAAATTAGCATTAAAAAGGAAAAAAAAATCCCTAAAAACATGACAAAGCAAGATATGGTTGGTTTATAAGCATAGATACTACATAAAGTGGGGTGCGAGTTAACACTAGTTGGAAATATCTTTAAAAGCATGCCTGGGTTGGGTACTACAAGCCATGATAAAGAATTTGATTTTTTTTTCCGGTAGGAAATAGACAGACTGGAAACATTTTACTAGTGGCATGGCCAGATAAGTGTTCTAGACAGATAACTTTAATGGCTAAATTCACTTACTAAATATTTATTGAAAGCCTGTTATAAGCCAGGATTTAACTAAGCAATTTTTAAAAAGGATATCTTTGGTTACGTGAAGTAGAGAGAGTAAATCTATTTTCATGAAGTAAGATAAACAAATATTAGCAAAGAAGCCTGGCACGGTGATTCACACCTGTAATCCCAGCACTTTGGGCGGCTGAGGCAGGCAGACCACTTGAGGTCAGGAGTTCGAGACCAGTCTGGCCAACATGGTGAAACCCCATCTCTACTAAAAACACACAAAGGATTATATATATATGCAAAGAAACGGTGATAGAACTTTATCATTAATATTAACTATCAAAACATCTCTGCTATCTTTATCAACACTACAATATATTAGGAAAAAACAAGTCATCCTCATCACTATTACTCCTTAGAGAAATGCAAATCAAAACCATAATGAGATGCCACTTCACACTCACTAGGAAGACTTAATCAAAAAAGACAACAAATGTTTACTAGGACACAGAAAAATTGAAACCCTCATACGTTGCTTGTGGGAATGTAAAATAATACAGCCACTCTGGAAGCAGTCTGATCAGTCCTCAAAAAGCTAAATACAGTTTATGATCTGTATTTAGTCATATGACCTAGCAATTCCACTGCTAGGTGTATATCCAAGAGAAATAAATGCCTATGTCTATCCTAAAATTTGTACACAAATGTTCATAGCATCATTATTATGATGGCCCCAGAATGTTAATAATATCCATAAACTGATCAACAGATAAACAAAATGTGGTATGTCCACATTATTATTTGCCATAAAAAGAAATGAAGTACTGACACATACTATAATTTAGATGAGCACTGAAGACTTCCTAAGTGAAGGAAGCCAGTCATAAAGAACCACATATTCATATATGAAATATACAGAATACATAAACCTATAGAAACACACAATAGATTAATGGTTGCCTAGATGTGGGACAGTCTGGGGGGTTAGAAGATGATGGCTAAGGAGTGCAAGGTCTCTTTTTAGGGTGATTAAAATGTTCTCAATTTGATTATGGCAATGGTTGTATAGCTCTGTGAATATACTGAAGGCCATTTAATTGTACAATTTAAATGGATGAGTTAAATGGTACATGAATTACATCTCAATAAAGTTTTTATTTAAAAAATGAAATCTTGAGTAATATTTTCAAAATTCTATTTCTCCTTTCTTCATGAGGCCAGATGGTGCCCTTCCCAGTACAGAATGTACTATGACACTCAAGTGCCAGAAAAATGCCAACACTGAATCTGGCAATTATTTTTTTCTAGAAAAAGTAAACTTCCAGTTGTTCAGCAGAAAACAATATTTCTATGATATCTAAACAATAAGAGAACAGAAATTTTGACCCATCTGGCATAAAAGGTGAACTATAATGTTTCTACAACATCAAAATCTAAAATGCTTTTCTATCAATCAATTTCATCTTCCATCTGTCTTAATCCAATCACTGGTGTAAAAATTATCAATAATTAGGGCTGTCAGATTATAAACTTTTGAAAGCAAAACCATGAGGAAGAAAGGAGTTAGCTTTTGAAAAAGAAGACTTGAATCTAATCTCTGCCAAGGCCAAGTAACAGCCATGTGGTCTCAGCCAAATATTTAAGTTCTCTGAGCATCAAGTTTTTAATCTGCAAAATGGGAATAATACCAGTTCCACTAACCTGTCGAGATTTGGGGTAGGATCAAATGGTATTTGCTACCAGACTCTGAAACTGTTCATCAATATAATGCAAAACCAATAAATCTGGGACAATGGATATTGTAGTGCAAAATTAAATATTAGTAACTTAAAGTAGAGTTTTAGAAGCAATAAGTCAAAAAGGGAAATAAAAAAATTTGATATTCAAATTCTTTAAAGACTGGGGACATCTAAAATGAAGATATACAAAAATATAAGTATGAGAAAGAAATTTTACATGACATATTTACACATACATTTTCCTTAGAATTTTTGAAACATATTGGTATAATGATGAGTTATCTATTGTTAGAATTATGAATAAGCTATCACTGTTGGAAATTCCAGAGTTTAAAGTTAATGCTAAGGTAGCATTTCAATTTTTATTTGCTTATAACCACATTCCTATTAGCCCAGGAGTCAGATGAGATAAATATACTGATAAGGATACTAAATAACAGAAGACCCTAACAGAAAATTCACCTAAAAAAAGGAAACATGTTTGCATGTATATATAATTAAACGTGTATTCATGCAAACAAGGAATTGGGTTCAAAAGAATCTGTTTGTTAACATCTTGATCTATATATAAACCCAAGTTAGTCTTCCCATACTCTTATTTTATTTTTTTACTCCTGGACACTCCAATATTGCTAGAAAAATAAACGAAAGCATGCTAATTAATTGGCTTTACTGCAAATATATGTCTCCAGCTTCAGCTGGGATTCCATGATTACTTGGAAATCATGTGTTGTCTCTAGTCTTTTTTCCTTCTCATACTTCCCACAGCAGTTTAGGTCTTTAATGTCTCATCTAAGCCACAACGTTTATCGTGCTTCTTACACAGAGGTTTAATTCCCTGGGACCACATCACATTGCACTCTTTTTCATTTTCTTTCTTTCTTTCTTTTTTTTTTGAGACCAAGTCTTGCTCTGTTGTCTGGGCTGGAGTGCAGTGACACAATCTTGGCTTACTGCAACCTCTGTCTCCTGGGTTCAAGCAATTCTCCTGCCTCAGCCTCCCAAGTAGCTGGGATTATAAGTGTATGCCATCACACCTGGCTAATTTTTGTATTTTTAATAGAGACAGGGTTTCACCATGTTGGCCAAGCTGGTCTCGAACTTCTGACCTCAAATGACCTGCCCACCTCAGTCTCCTGAAGTGCTGGGATTACAGGTATGAGGCACCGCGCCAAGCCCACACCCCTTTATCTTCTCCTGTTGAGGATTAACATCAACACCGTAAAAGCCATGCAAACAAGGGCTTGAGTTTATCTTGTTGAATATTCTATTCCCCAGTACCTACAGAGAAATAAATGCTGAATAAATATTTGTTCTAATAAGCAGAGGCAAGAAAACAAGTTAGGCAATATCATATAACCTCTACTACCTTCTAACAAAATTTCTCTGGTACAGTTACATGAGTACTATAAAGATATCAAAATCCACAGCCCATAATATCTTTAAGCTTTAATATAAGATTTTATTTTAATAATAGTTTATATTTTTTAAAGCAGTTTTAAAGCCACTTTTGTCATTTATTGATTAAAAATAAGCCAAATATCAAGGAATAATTTGTGTATTTTAAACTCATGTGTAACTCATTTTAGAGCTAAATTTTTATCTTTAAAGTCTAGGTTTCTTTCAGATCAGAATGTAGCTTCCAGAATACAAAAAGGATGTTAGTTATATCTGCAGTTCATAAACAGCTTGTCAATCATCACAGAATTCATGAACTCCATACATATTTATCACTGCATTCATTTTTAAACAAATATTGTGAAAGAGTGCACACAGTGTGAGAAATGTCACCTAAATGCTAAAAAAAGGCCTGTAAATATCAATTCTTAATGGTAGGTTCCTTGTCTATCAACAAAATAAATATCAGCCTCTTGTCCACTTTCAATTTCACTGAATGCCACCTACTTATAAATTAGCTATAATGATTCAAAACACACAGTTCTATTTTGACCATGATTTCTCAATTTTCCTCCCCTTCCCCAAAATCATGATTTGAAAAATTAAATGTAAAAAGTATTTACAAACCTCCATCCATCCTTCTGGAGGTAACTGAAGGCTCCATCAACAACACTTGCAAAGAACTGCCCTCCTGTGATGAAGAGGGTATTAATGGTGACTAATCGGCCTCTTAAATTGGGTGGTGAGACCTCCGCAATGTACACTGGCACTGTCATAGAAGCAATGCCTGTAAAAACAATGAAAAGTAAACATGAGACATTTACTCAAGATTTCCGTTGTTATAAATGCTGATGCTAGATTTAGGCATACACTTATGTACATGGGCTTGGTTTTCTACTTTAAGCAAAGATTTACCACATATTTAAGATTTTGTTCTTAACTAATTTGAGGCTACTGCAGACAAGTAAAAATGTATGCAAGATACCATTTTTCTTATTATCACTTGAAAGCCTAAAAATGAAAGCACCCTAAAGACTAAGAGAACTTCAGAGTGCATGTAAGTGTACTTTATAACTTCTTGAGGACTAAAAATACAAAAAAAAATTATCTAGATAGAATGATTACGGAAATATTTTTAGTCTATATGGAAATGTAATCACACAACAGTGAGAATAAAGAATTATCTTAGGATACATATTAACTATTCAAAGACATAATTAGATGCCAATAAATGCACCAAAACTTTTCATTGGTTTACTAATAAAAAATTCACATATTAAATCACCTTATTCAATTGGCTGGGTGTACATCTCAGAATAAAAGAGTTTTATAGCTAAGGTATATTTAGTTACATTAGCTTTAAACATTTTTTCTATCTGAAATTAATGCAGTATTCTCTATTGCAGTAGTTCTAACTTCACTAATAACCAGAATTACTTATGTGACTTTTTTCTTTAAATAAAGTTGCTCCCACCTCACCCACCCTAGACCTAAATTACTAAATGGAAAATTTCAAAGGTCAGGATGAGTTTGTCTTTTTAAAATTCTCCAGATGTGATCTTGAGGCTTACTGTGTATTTAAAAACGTACAGTTCTATAGTACAGAACATTGAACAATTCCAAATTATTTCTTAAAGTCTCACCCTCTTGTGGCATCTGCAATTTCCATATAGGTCTGATTATTTAGACTATTTTAGCATTTAATATTATTTAGCCTGTTGTATTCATTCTTACCCAAAGGTTGGACATCGACTGATTTGCTGTATCTAATCAATATTCACCAAAGCCTCCATAAAAAAAAGATTGCCTAAAAAATTTTAATTTTTATATATCTCTACATATTATTATATCCTTAGATTAAGCCAGAACATGAATAAAATGAATAAAACAGATCTATATAGAATTGCTTTTAACAAACTGCTTTTTAATGAATTTATGATGGAAAAAAATAGTTTGCATTGAAGGAATCAGTACTAAGAAACCTGCTGCTGTGTTTTCTTGTACAAGGGCTGTTGAAGGTGCTATTTATTACATTCCATAAAGTAAGAGACATTTCTCTATGGTCTCAGTAACTGCAATATTTGTGCTTTTCTACCAGTGATTTTTGTTAGTTGATGGCTAATATAAATCACAGGGTTTTTTCTTCATTTCCCTTTTTTTTTTACACAAAGAGGCCCACCTCTACCCAATTTTTTGGACTTCAAGGTATTATTTTTGTGACCCAAACTCTCTCCTAATGGCATAACAGTCTGTAATTTTTCCTATTATATTTTTCATCTATTTTTATTTGCTTTATCGTTGAAGAAAGCAAATAAATACACAAATAAACAGAGAAATGAGATTTATTTAAGTAATACATATTTATTTGGGAAAATTCACTGAATTAGCCCATAACTACTGATAAGTAGTTATTAAATCTGCATACAAGTCAAACCATTAAGTCTCAGAACTAGATACTAATTTCTACCAGTGTTATTTACTACTGTAGTGGCTGTCAATAATCTTATGACTTCGAGTTTCATACAGTAGTAAGCATGTACTAATAGACACAGAATTAATAAATTAATTTACATTGTATGAATTGAATACATATTAACCTATATATATATTAATTTACAATCAAATCATCACCTAAGCAAATGAAGTTTCCATTTGACTGCTAGTCAATTTAGTAACACAGACCACCTTGAAACACCCTCATCTGACTTGGAAAAAGGAAGCAAACATCTGCTGCAAATGTTGACAAGGTACTTGTATATTCCTTTTAGTTCTCTTACTATTAAAACATCTCAAACTTTCATAAATCAAACAATAATTTATAATTTGGATTTCTTTTTCTGCTTTGGTCTGACTATAAACAGGACTTTGGTTGCTCTCTTTAGACAAAGATCTTACCATGTAGCCACAGAAATCAGTATGGGAATTCAGGACTGTGGTTTTAAGCAACACATGCTCAACAAAAAAAAAAAAAAGCCCATAGATTTTACTTGATGGAAATGCAAGTATGTCCTCAGAATCTGATAAAGCTCGATTATTTAAGACGCCAGAGCTTTGAAAGTAACACATACTGAAAAAGGGTAAAGACTGAAGACAGATTCACTGGATTTGGAGTTGAAAAGAACCACAAAAGACCTTTTGTCCAATGAGAGTTCAAGCTGACTTAACATGCGACAACTGACTACACTCAGCAGATATTTTACAGGAACTAATTATCTTATTTAATCATCGGACATCCCTTTAAATGGCATGTAATTATCTCCATTTTTCATATCCCAGGTCACACAATGAGTAGGTAGAAGAATCAGAATTTAAAGTAGACAGGAAGATTCTAAAACCCAATTAAGATGGCACAAACTATATGGACTGATCATCATAAATAAGGGGAGGCTCTGGAACCAGTGGGTTTCAATCCCTGCCTCGCCACTTAACAGCTGGTTGTTTGGAAAACTTACTTAACTTTTCTGGGTCTGAAATTCCTCATTTACTAAATGGGAAGAATAAAAGTAACTCCTTCATAGGAGTTGAGAGGATTCAATGAGTCCAGTAAAACACCTAAAATTGTGCCTGGCATAGAGAAGGTAGTCAATAGTATCAGCAATTATTTTTATTCTTATTATCATCTCTAGTTGTGAAGCATCACCAATTCTTCCTATTCAATTCAACCTATAGTAGGTGACAGAATTAGAAGAATGAGTACAGGCCGGGCGCGGTGGCTCAAGCCTGTAATCCCAGCACTTTGGGAGGCCGAGACGGGTGGATCATGAGAGATCGAGACCATCCTGGTCAACATGGTGAGACCCCGTTTCTACTAAAAATACAAGAAATTAGCTGGGCATGGTGGCACGTGCCTGTAATCCCAGCTACTCAGGAGGCTGAGGCAGGAGAATTGCCTGAACACAGGAGGCGGAGGTTGCGGTGAGCCAAGATCACGCCATTGCACTCCAGCCTGGGTAACAAGAGTGAAACTTCGTCTCAAAAAAAAAAAAAAAAAAGAATGAGTACAAACAAATAAAACAGGGTCCCAGCTATGAAGGAAAGTATTCAGAAGACCAACTCACAAAAGCATACAATCTAGTAATAACTGCAAAATACATGGTAAGGGTCATAATAAAGCTATACACTGAATTCTACTGTGGCATGCTGACAATAATAAGGTGGTAGCTGGAAAGGTTGAGCAGAAAATTCTGCACAGAACAGGAGCTTAAAATACATGAAATGGCATGGGGTTTTCTGAGAGATAAATAAAAAATGTGAGAAGGAATGTGTGCAGATAAGATGTGAGAGACACAGAGTGCCCAATTCTCATGGAAGCAGCATCCATTAAGCAGTGAGTATTGTCAGATGCTAGGTCTGAGCTAGGCACTGTGTTAAGCACTTTGGAGATAGTGCTGTAGGGGAGAGACATGAGCTCTGTCCTCATGGGGCTTAGGGTCTGCTGGTCAAGTGGAATGGGTCTTTCCCATAGGGGAAATGTGAGGAATATCAGGCTATAACAAACGGACTGGCCCAGCCTAAGGAGTCAGAGGGGCGTTGGATGAAGTCATGTTTAAGCTGAGATGAAGTAAATTGAGAGTAGGCTGGAGATAAGGGATAGTTTGGAGGTACTGCAAATGATCAGATCAACTTAGATAAAGGCCTTGAGGCAGAAAGAAATGCATCCTGCTGAGGAAGGGGGACTACTTTTAGAGAAAAGGGCAAGGATCAAACACAGTGTAAAGAATCTTAAAGGCAAAATGAAGGGGTTGGTACAGAGAAGCCTCTGAATAGGGTAGAAGAGGAAGATGCATGATCAGGTTCACATTTTTAAAGGATCATTCTGGTTGGAGTATGGAAAATGGATTGCAGGGAAGCAACATGTAGAGTGGCAGCAATGGAGATGGACTGAAATGATGAGATTTGGGAATTATGCCTTTGGTATCTAGGCTAAAGAGAATATGGATGGGATGTGAAGGATAGGGAGAGAAGGAAGTTGAGGATGATGTTTTGATGTCAGGAAAAAGCAACTAGGAGCATGATGGGCACTCTGTACAGGGATAAGGAGGGGCAAAAATTAAGTTTGGGTGCAAGATAACAAGGTCAGGTCATAGATGGATTGAGTCAGAGGTGTTCTGCAAAACACAGAAGTAGATAGTAAGTGGCGTGCTTGATGATGTGCTGTGAATATAGATTATTTACATGTGAGTGGTTCTACCCCCTCACTCTTTCCCCTACCCGATAAGGTCTTTACCAGAATAACCTGTCTTCTCCTTTATCCTCAAGGGAGAATTTGGTCTTTGTCAGACTAGTTCTTGGGATTTTATCATGCTGGGCAAAAAAAGGTGGAGAAAAGAAAACATGGGCAATTAATGTGGTTTGTAGGGAGAAGTTAAGAGCAAAAAAAAGCAGAAAACAGTTGTGAGAGACTTGGGGTCAGTCTGGAGAAAATGGGAGGCTGTAACAAAGGGAGTAAGCCTTGAGTGGTGAAGCGAGGAGATGACAGCAAATTTAAGAAATAATGCTGATTTGTAACCTACCTGCTATTATATTCTTCAAGAGACATAAGTTAAGAGCAGTTCTGTCTTGCTATTGCTTTTAGTTGCTGCACTATATTTCAAATGCAGCATCAAACTGAGACTCAACCAGGTAGGGTTTGGGAATTATATAACTATGTGGAGCTCAAAGGATGGTTCTGTGTGGACAATGCACACAACTGAAACTATGGAAATGGATAAGATCACTCAATGGCATAGGAGAAGAATGCTTAGAATAGAATCCTGAAACAGTCCAGCAACTAAGGGACTAGGAGTG